GGGGGGGGGGGGGGGGGGCACAGTAAGGGCCTACTTGATTGGAAGCCGTGGTTGAGAGTAGCCAATCAAAGAGGCAAGCTGCGGCTTCGGCATTCACAACGAATGGGGTGTCCAGCGTTGCAGCAATCTTCTTATTTTGCTTGCGACAAGCAGCAATTACATTCTGTCAATAAAATACCGCAAACCAAGGTCAGAAAAAGGCGTGGAAGCCGCGGTGGTGGTCTCCGAGAGCATGCGCACGTTTCGCCACTTGAAGAGTGCCGTCAAGCGATTGGCAGTCTCGAGAATGAGTTGCTCCCCAACGCTTCCCAACAGCGTTGCTTCCATAAGCGCATCGGCAAGCTTGACACAGGTCCGCGCCTTTTTAACATTGAGATCGCTCACGCTATGAAGAAAGCAACGACCAAGGTTGAACCGACAACGACATCAACGGGAAAAAGACGGGCCCAGGAGAGGCAAGAGCGGTTTGGAGGAGCGCGAAAGAGCCGTGATGAATGATGCATGCATACCTGCTCTCCGCTGACATGTCGCCGTGAATGGGAAGACGCAGCTCCTCTAGATCAGTCTCCAAAACGTGGGTGGCCAGCTATCAATGAAGTTTGCAGACAAAAAAAAGAAGAAGTGATGTTTCCACACGGACGCAAGCTAGGCGACAAGAAAGTCCCACACATACCATACTAGCAAGGCTCCAGCAAGATTGCTCCTTGATCCCGGAGGCTTCCGTTTTTTTTTTCGGGTGACAAGCGAGCCATTCCAGCAGGATGAGCAAACTGGCTCTGTCGACAGACAGTTGTCGTGGTGTCAGGGACGAGTAAGCTACCTTGGGAGACGCAGGCTTGCAGCAGGTCAGCAACAGGGAATACAACCTGAGCCTGCAAAGAAATGTTGCAGACAAGTCTGAGTATAAGAACAAAGGAAAAGCCGAGCAAAAGTGGAGGACAAAGGTGTTGCGGTGTTCACACCTCACTGTGGCGCATAGCGACGCAGTCATCCAGTGTAAAGGACAAATCTTTGCCAGCAAGGAGACCGAGCGACAACTGCAGAGGCCAAAACGACGGTTCATGAAGCAGGGTGAGAATCCTTTGCAAGCCAACGCTGGCCGTGACGCACGCACAAACAAAACGGGATAAAAAGAACACAACGCATGCGATGTCGAAAAAATTTCATCCCAACCTTTGAAAAGCAAAATTGAATCAGCATTTCACGATGCCGTTCACCAAGGCGCATCTTGGTAAGTTGCTGAAGGTCATGCCATCATGGACGAGACATGAGAACCACGGCGGGGAATCGAAAAAGCCCACAGCGCTGCCTTGAAGGTTGACGGACCTCATAAACAGCGCACGCAACAGTGGCATCTCGTGCTACAACAGCTTCAAGCATGGACAATAGCTGAAGGCAAAAGCTGTCAGCCCAGGTTGGCAGTGCTGGCAAAAGGGCAGCTGAATGCAAACTTTGGCTGGAACCGAACCCACCTCATCTTCGACATCAGACTGTGCTGGTGATGCCTGCACAGCATGGGGGAGCGAGCAGCGCCGCAAGGCCAAGTCAACTTTCGGGCTGAGACTGATTTGAACGTAACATTTCGCCACCTACTTTGAGCCAAATCAAATTGCAAAGCCCAGCATTGATGCGTGCTCCTGCATCACGACGCAGCCGACATTTGCGCAAAGCAAGCATCGCGCTGTTGCGAAACCCTGGTTGCGTCCAAAAGGGCCAGGCCAATGCCTAAATTTCCACCATTGCCTTGTGAGCACGACGCAAAGAGAGAATAAACAGACAACAGAATGAGCCTGATTGGAAGGCGAATCATGTGAGCAAGGGTCACGCCGACCTCAGCAGCACACCCCATCTTTTCAGGCGTGGTCATGTATAGCAGATCCAAGAGTCGAGATAGCTGAAGCTCGCAATTTTCATGGCGGTTGAGCTTGGCACAACTATATTTGAGCGAACAGAAGGTGATCTGGCACAAAGACGCATTGAAGTGGCTAGATTACCCAAGCAGGAAAGGCGCCTTACGATTGCAAGAGTGGTGCAATGTCAGTGGCCACTGCAGGCGTGCAGGAGGCAAAAATCGAAGCCACCGCATCCAAGACTTGAAGGCGCAGTGTCTAAGCAAAAGATACCACGACCAGCAAATTTACTTGCGCCATCGCGATCCTATAATGTGCCAGCGGGACAGCTCCCATGCAGGCTGACCTGGTTGTGAGCAGACAATTCTTGCAGGACTTGCAGGCCAATGGATCTGAAATTGACATGGGATATTTGGATGAGATGGACTGAAGCTCGAAGGCAAAAGGTCATCAGCCACTTCAGGCCTCATGCGAGTCAGGAGGAGGGGCAAAGAATGACCTTAGTGTGTCGGTGCGTTCAAGAAGATGTGTCAGGAAACGCAAGATGACAGCGTGCAAACATTCGCAGCCCGTGGGTATGGTAACAATGGCAGTCTACCAAGGCACAGGCATTCCGTTTGTGGGTGAAACAACCTTCCGATAGCAAAGTTGTCAAGGTAGGAAAAAAAAAAAAAAAAAAAAAAAAAAAAAAGCACAAACCTACCTGAAGGCTCGAGCGCACATTTCGGGCAGGGATTTGAAGGGCATTGAACCAGGTTGCAGTTTGAGAAAATTGTTCATCGCGTGCTTCTTGTTCCAAAGCCACCTGCCAAAGCGGTCGCAGCCGGAGCAGCAGAAGCTTGAACAAGCGTACCAACTCATGATTCTTTGATTAATGTCATTTTTTTTTTCTTTTTTCTGCGATCTTCGTACCCGCAACAGAGCTGAAAAGCCGTCTTCATGGCGCGGGAGGTGAGCTATGGTCCAGCAGAGCAGAATGGCGCTTGGCGACCATACAGTGGCTTGCTTCAAGTGACGCCCGACGTCTCGGCAGAATGCCTATCAGCAGCCCATGGCCATGACAATCGGCATTGATTATTTTTGGGCAGCTTTTGAGCGTCAGTACGACAATAAGCAAGCTCAGGAGAGCAACGGAAGAGGCAGCATTGGAGGGTGTATCAATGCGCAAGTAGGTAGATATGATGTGAAGAGAAAGAAAAAAAAGGGTGAGAGAAAGGAGAAGGTCACAAACCTGGTTGTGACGAACGGCTTGGAGAAGAGTTTGGATAACGTCGTTGTGCAACACTCTGTTGTTGGTGTGTAGCATATCCAGGCGGTTCAGCAATGCTGCCACAACGGGGCGCATGTCTCCCTGTCGTTGGTTGAGCAAAGCGGGCCGAAGCGATGGATGAGCACGAAGAGCAAGGATAGCTTGCTCAGACAAAAAGGCTCTGCCGCCCGCGCACAGCTGCCGTATCGAGCCACACGGCAACTCCTTGAAGCGAAGCATGGCGTCCCGAGGAGAGATACCTTCTGACTATAGGGCAAGATGTCTTGTAGGAGGGTGGCGAGCAGGTCGGGCTCGGAGGCAGTGACGGCTCGAGCCAGAGCGGCGCGCAGGGTGCGAAACTGGGCAGGAGTGAACACCCACTGTCGAAAGGCACGGCAAAAGGCGGCGAGCATGCGAGTGTCCATGCGACCCGAGAGTAGAGCATTGAAGGCATGATCTGCCAGGGCACGGCCGTCAGAAATGTGGCCTGGCAGGAGCGTGAAACGGGAGAGGTGGGTCAGGAGGTGTTCCAAAAGTTCCATGGTCAAGCCAGTCGCAAAGGCGAGGTCCTGCTGGGCAAGGGCATCCTCAAGCGCGCGGTATGCGGGGAGGAGGATGACCAGGTCAAGTGCTTTGGCCCGTTGACTCGCGACGTTGAGAAACTGATATAGGAAGCGTTCATGACAAGCGGCATCCTCGAGCAGTTCGGCCACGTTCAGGAGTGACGGCTTTTTTGAAGTGGCGATCACATCGTTGGCGAGTGCAGCCAAATCACGCCCCGATTGAAGCCGCTGTCGCCAATCCTCGTTGACGGGCATGTCCCTGGGTCACAACCGAGCCCAACCCAGCTCCTCTACACAGCAACCACCCCCGTCTATCGTGTCCGGAAGCGGTCGTCATCCAAGGCTGAGAAAAAAAGTCAGTGAACCCGTCGCTCGCCACACTCGCGCGCCCGCGCCGCCACGGCAAAGTCAGCAGAGTAATGAAGTAAATGAAGAACGAATGTTAGTTTTTGTAGATATCAAGGTAAGTCATGTGCTGAAAGTTGCAGACGTATATAGAGAAGATGTCGATATGAGTAGAGCGCGCCACGAACAGGTGAATTGTCGACAAAAAAAATAACGGTTCGAAGCTGTTCTCGACGGCGCAAACGGAATGTTACAAGACCCCTCCATAGTATAATATTTAATTGTCAGCGTTTTTCTTGGTGCAGATTATATGCCATTGGTTCCAGCTGACCCCCAAGAAAGCTGGGTGCGTTGAATGGGTTTTCACACCACCCCCACAAACAAAAGAAACTTGCTTCAGTTGGTAGCGCCCATAGCGTCGATTGTTTCCTTATGACTGACTAGCCGTTAGGAGAGAGAGAGAGAGAGAGAGAGAGAGAGAGAGAGAGAGAGAGAGAGAAACCAAAGAGAGATGAGGGAGAAGAGTGAGAGAGATATGAGAGTGAGAGAGAAAGCAGAAAGAGAGATGAATTGAAAGAGAGGTGGAAAGCGAAAAAGGGCAGCGTAAGGCAGACGGCGAGGAGCTGCCATCAAAGGAACAAGTCAAGGCAGACGTAAATCCAACCTTGAAAGCGACACAGACAGCTAAGCAAGCGGTAAGAGGGTCAGAGAGACACAGAGAGAGAGAGAGAGAGAGACAGACAGAGAGAGACAGAGAGACAGAGCAAAAGAGACAGAGAGAGACAGAGAAACAGAGAGAGACAGAGAGAGTTTGAGAGAGAGAGAGAGAGTTTGAGAGAGAGAGAGAGAGTTTTTGAGAGAGAGAGAGAGAGAGACAGAGAGACAGAGAGACAGACAGAGAGAGTTTGAGAGAGAGAGAGAGAGAGAGAGAGAGAGACACACACACACACACACACACACACAGAGACGGAGCAGATTCACGACGACAACGTCGCTGGCGTCGGGGTGTAGAGCGACGACAAGGAGGGCTGCGGTTAACCTTTTGGCGTCGTCAGCTGGCCGTGTGTGGGGTCTGCATGGCATAGCGTCGCAGATTCCTTCCCGCCTTGCAAGATTATTGGGGTGGGATCGACTGATTGACGGGCCTCTTGCTTGTCACAGTATCTCTCCCCCATCGTGGCCACGAGCGCACGCTGGTTGTGGCGTTGATCAGAATGCAACCGATTGGCAGCGCAACTTTGACAGTCGCATCGATTGCCTACAGCCCTGACGTGTGGTACTGAGCCATCCAGACGGGTCTGGGGCGTGGGCCAGTTCCACCCAGAGGGGTGAAGTCGCATTCACCCCATCAAACGCCACAAAAACACAAATCTCAGAGCACACGCCCCGCCCCGCGCATCTCAACCCACGCCATGCGGTGGTCACAGTCTCTGCTCGCTGCGCTTTTGTGCCTGTTGGCGTTCTTTCATCGGGTACGACAGGCTGGGTATCATTCAGAACTGTTGAGTGTCCACTTCCGTACGTGCCGTACCTAACGGCTGCCTGCATTCTTTGCTGCTTGATCGTCTTGCCGCTTCGCTTCATCACAGGCTTTCGCGCAAGATGTGACGCTTGCAGACGTGCTGGCGCTCGAGTCGGCTCTGCCAGGTAGAGGCTTTGTCCCTCAACTCATCCTGCCGCGCCCGTGGCAGCCCTCTTCAGCATCTCATAGGTTTGACCATTTTGCAGGAAGTACCTCCACCACCATGAGCCCGGGCATTGCCCTCCCCAACGGCAATGGCTCGCTCTATGCGCCGCCAACCCTGGCGCTTTCGCTTCCTGAGCGGCCCACTCTTCCCGTTTTCGCAGATTTCGCAAATGCCACCACCACGTCTCCGACATCCATCCTCACTACCCTGACCGACGCTGTCACCACCGCCATCACAACCACCATCGATGACACCACGGCAAACACGACGACAGATGCTTCCGTCACCACACCTACACCCAGCGATATCGTACCGACCAGCAGCTCGGTCCTTCTCCAGCCCTCCTCTTCCATCGTGTTTGCCCCTTCTTCCAGAACACAAAGCGTGTCTCCGTCGTCGTCCGCTTCGCCAGTAGCCCCATCATCCTCGGTGCTCTCGAGCCTGATGTCCTCCATCGCATACACGACAACTACCTCCGCGCTCTCGAGTGTTTCCTCGGTAGTCCCTTCCACCACTGCGTCATCTTCCTTCGAGGTATCTTCCACGCTGTCATCTAGCCCGAGCAGCACAACAGATACTTACTCTACCAGCACTATCGCGCCGGGCACTAGCAGCGTTTCTACCCCTTCATCCATCACCTCCGCGACTCCAATGGCTCCTTCGAGCTCGTCTTGGAGCTCAACCTCAAGCACTGTAATCTTTTCGAGTGACAACCCGAGTACATCAAGCATCGTTGTTAGTAGTAGCAGCACAGCCTCTATCCTGACTTCAGCAGCGCCATCCAGCAGCACGCTTGACATGACGCCCGTCTCCTCTTCCTCATTGACCTCGCTTACAACATCTTCGGCTAGCGCACAGCCATCCTCTTCAGCCAGTTCCGTCAGTAGCTCAGTGATCCCTCCCACCAGCACCATGGTGGCCGTCAGCAGCAGCTCGGGAGTTCACAGCAGCACTGCCTTTGGCTCTAGCACCAACCTGCCAACGCCCTCCTCCATCGCTTTGTCAAGCGCAACGATCAGCGCCAGCATACCTCCGGTCACAAGCTCTTCGCAGGTGCTCGAGCCCAGCAGTACGCTGCTCGCCCCATCCTCAACCTTGGTCTCACCAAGCATCAGTGTCTCCGCCAGTGAAGAACCCTTGCCCAGCTCCTCAAGCGTTCAGCTTCCGAGTGTTTCCTCTTCAATTGGCCTTGCGACTTCAGTGCTTCCGTCAGTTTCCACCACATCGGCAGGGCTGGAGAGCACCTCCACCTTGATGGCTTCCAGTACCCCCGGTCCGTCGAGCATCACACCGTCCACCAGCCTTTCGTCCAGTACCAGCGCCAGCGATGGATACACCTCTCCTTCTTCCTCGTCTCCCTTCTTTTCTGCAAGCGCGAGCAGCCATGTCCCGGCCAGCAGCTCGGCCCCTGTGGCGACAAGCACCGAGACCATTCTCTCCTCCTCCACGGCAAGCCCCGCGCCATCTTCAACATCATCAACATTTGTTTCGAGCTCCCCGCCCACCTCAAGCCTGGCCTCGTCAGGTGTCTTTGGTAGCGCAAGCTCTGCAATGCCAAGTGCCATTCCATCTTCGTCAACTGTCACTTTTAGCTCTGACGCTGCAACGATGAGCACCATATCTTCAAGCTCCTTCTTGCCATCTCAAAGTAGCGTGGCAAGCTTCACATCAAGCTTGTTCTCCTCCACCATGACATCTTTTGTCACGTCAAGCACGGAACAGGTTTGTCACAGATTGTCAGTCCAAAAAAGATGAAACGCTTGCGCGCGCTCACGCTGCTCTTTGTACCTCGTGCCATAGGTGCCCCCGAGTAGCACGACAGCCCTGCCCTCGTCCGCAACCTTGGGCGTCTCCACCAGTCTGACATCAAACCCAATCACGACGTTGCTTCCCACCCCGTCCTCTTGGCAAATGCCGGGCACGACAACAGACTACTCGCCCTCACCCTCCACTTCCAGCTCAGCTATTCTCTCTGCCTCCAGCTCCTTGTCGGTGGTGCTGACATCATCATTGTCGAGTAGTAGCGCAACCCCGTCGCTCAGCTCGGTGACCTCGAGTAGCTTTGGAACTACCAGCATTCCCAGTGTCAGCTCAAACTTGGTAACCCCTGCAGTGGGGTCCTCCAGCGCAGGTGTTAGTCTTCCACCGAGTACACCCGTTGTCACGACCAACACCGCTGTGCCGACTAGCTCGACTGCATACGTTGTGGCGACCTCAAGTGTAGTTTCCAGTGTGCCCTATCCAGCAACAACTAGCTTGACGTCACTTAGCAGCGCGTATACATCTCTTGCTTCAACAAGCGATATGGCTGGACCCAGCTCAAGCTCGGACACGTTTGCTACTTCAGACGTTTTTTCATCCGTACAGGTCACTATCAGCTCCACTGCAAGCTCAACGGCCCTATTCAGTACCTCTGTTGCACCTGCTAGCAGTGATGCCACCAGCAGCTCGGCAGCGACGAGTATTCCCGGTTCAAGCTCCAGTTTGTTGTTGCCATCTTCTGTTGCAACCTCGAGCTTGCCTGTGAGTTTGACTAGTAACATCCCAACAAGCTCCCTCACACAGAGTGCGATGCTGACCTCTGACCTGCCTGAGCCAACATCGTCCAGCACAGCCAGCGTGGGCACCACCAGTCTACCGGGTTCATCCTCTTTACCAATGCTCAGCTCTACGAACGTGGTCATGAGTTCTTCTGCAGTGCCCAGCAGCTCATCATTGGCGCCGTCTAGCTCGACATTTGTTTTGCAACCCCCTAGCACGGTTGTCACTCCACCGTCTCTACCCAGCAGCCCTCTCGTGCCATCATCGGCCTCTTCACTTGTTATGCCAGAGCTACCTTTTACTCTCCCACCCAGCCCACCGATATTATCAACGTCGATGCTGAGTATTCCAGTCTCACCCTCTGCGTTGATTTCTCCGATGCCTCCTACGACGCTGCCCCCACCCAGTCTGCCCAGCCTATCTTCCCCTCCCATGCCTTCCAGCTCGCCATCGTACCCAAGCAGCGCTGATCCGTTACAGTCACCCACATCACCATTGCCACTAAGCTCTTCAAGTGTCGTCACTGGTAGCACCTCGAGCCTTCCGTTTCCAGCTTCGTCCAGTGTGGGCATGGTCTTATCGTCAACCAGTTCTTACGGTTTGGCTAGCAGCACTGCGTTTCCGGCACTCTCTTCAACTGCATCGGTCACACCAACGCCGTCTACGACGCAAACGGTCTCAACTCCATTGAGCTCACCTCTGCCAAGTCCCACCTCTGTAATATCAAGCACGACGCTGCTCTCTGCAAGCACGAGCGACCTGATGACACCTTCTTCCTCACAAGCTTTAACATCCACAAGCATGGGCACAGCAACTGATTTTGTGAGTTCCATGCTCACCAGCAGTGAGTTTGTAACAACCTCTGCCTCTCAGTTTGCTTCATCTGCCGAGATAAGCAGCGCTTCCGCATCGTTGGTATCACCAACCAGCCTGTTACCGAGCACGTCATCTCCTTCTGTCTCCACTTTGCTCTCGACCTTGCCATCGCTCAGTGCATCCTCAGTATTCACGACAGCAGTAACCGAAGCCTCAACCTCAGTTTCAAGTCTACCAAGCTCTGGAAAGTTGTCGAGTATCAGCACGAGCAGTGCACAAGCAGTTCCCAGTTCATCACTGTCCAGCAGTGTCACCATCAGTTCGGCCATGGACTCCACCAGCACGGTGCTGCCGACACCTTCCGCAACTCAAGCTGCGCCCTCAAGCACAAGCGCGCTTTTGCCGTCCACAAGTCTCCTCTCGACCAGCATGAGCAGCTTTGTGCAGCCGGCATCAAGCAGCGCTGTTCCGTCTTCCCTAAGCTCTATTGCAACCGATTCGAACAGCGTCACGTCAGCAATCACAACCAGCAGCCTTTTACCAACAGTAACAGCGAGCAATCCCGTTGCCGTCAGCTCTTCCTCTCCCATAGCTACCACCGTGCTTGCAACTCAAACGATTGCCCCCAACTCCAGTCTCATTGAATCCCCAGTGACAACCAGCACATCAGTCATTGTGCCACCTTCGTCATCGACGTCGTTTGCGTTGTCTTCCTCATCCGTACAATCGATCGACGTGACACCGTCGACATCATCAACGTCGTTTGCTCTTTCTTCGTCTGCTGCTACCACATCATTGATTGATGTGACACCGTCGACATCATCGACGTCGTTTGTTCTGTCATCGTCGTCTGCTGCTGCCACGCCGTCGACATCATTGACGTCGCTTGCTCTGTCTTCGTCTGCTGCTGCCACATCATCGATTGATGTGACACCGTCAACATCATCGACGTCGTTTGTGCTCTCTTCATCGTCTGCTGCAGCCACGCCGTCAGCATCATCGACGTCATTTGTGCTCTCTTCGTCTGCTGCTGCCACATCATCGATTGATGTGACACCGTCGACATCATCGACATCGTTTGTGCTCTCATCGTCGTCTGCTGCTGCCACGCCGTCGACATCATCGACGTCGCTTGCTCTGTCTTCGTCTGCTGCTGCCACATCATCGATTGATGTGACACCGTCAACATCATCGACATCGTTTGTGCTCTCTTCATCGTCTGCTGCTGCCACATCATCGATTGATGGGACACCGTCGGCATCATCGACGTCGGTTGTGCTGTCATCGTCGTCTGCTGCAGCCACGCCGTCGACATCATTGACGTCGTTTGTCCTGTCATCTTCGTCTGCTGCTGCCACATCATCGATTGATGTGACACCATCAACATCATCGACATCGTTTGTGCTCTCGTCATCGTCGTCTGCTGCAGGTGACACCGTCAACATCATCGACATCGTTTGTGCTCTCGTCATCGTCTGCTGCTGCCACATCATCGATTGATGTGACACCGTCAACATCATCGACATCGTTTGTGCTCTCGTCATCGTCTGCTGCTGCCACATCATCGTCATTGATGTGACACCTTTGTGCATCATCTTCGTCGTTTGTGCTCTCGTCATCGTCTGCTGCAGCCACGCCGTCGTCATCATCAACGCCATTTGTGCTCTCTTCGTCTGCTGCTGCCACGCCATCAATTGACGCGACGCCCTCAACATCATCGACGTCCTTTGTGTTGTCATCGTCATCTGTTACAGCCACGCCATCGATCGAAGTGACGCCATCCACATCATCGACGTCCTTTGTTCTGTCGTCTTCATCTGCTGCTGCTACATCTTCAGCAGACGTGACACCTTCGACATCATCGACATCAACTGTGCTCTCGTCATCGTCTGCTGCAGCCACATCGTCGACATCATCAACGTCATTTGTGCTCTCTTCGTCTGCTGCTGTCACGTCATCTGCTGACGCGACGCCCTCAACATCATCGACGTCGTTTGTGTTGTCATCGTCCTTTGTTACAGCCACGCCATCGATCGAAGTGACGCCATCCACATCATCGACGTCCTTTGTTCTGTCGTCTTCATCTGCTGCTGCTACATCTTCAGCAGACGTGACACCTTCGACATCATCGACATCAACTGTGCTCTCGTCATCGTCTGCTGCAGCCACGCCGTCGACATCATCAACGTCATTTGTGCTCTCTTCGTCTGCTGCTGCCACGTCATCAATTGACGTGACGCCCTCAACATCATCGACGTCGTTTGTGTTGTCATCGTCCTTTGTTTTGTCTTCGTCTGCTTCTGCCACATCTTCAGCAGACGTGACACCTTCGACATCATCCACGTCGTTTGTGTTATCATCGTCTTTGACAGCTACCCCTTCCCTGGATGTAACACCATCGACCTCGCAGACGTCTCTCATGTTATCATCAAGTGCTGCAGCTACCTCCTCGCTAGACGTCTCAGCATCGCTGTCCACTGCAGCTTCTTTGTCCTCCACAACTGCCGTCACCTCGTCGTTAGCAACATCGGCGACCGTGCAGACTGTTGTGCCCTCGGTGAGCTCAATGACGTCTTTGGCAACACCGTCATCATCCAGCGTGTTTGTGATACCTTCATCCTCAGTGGCCACCACACCACCTTCAACCACAAGCACCACACCATCACCTACGACAACAACTATGACCACGACTGACCAAACGCCCACCACCCTCGTCACTCCTGACACCACCACGATCCCCATCACCTCTACCACGCCGATAACGACGACCGACGACGTCACGACAAGCGAAAACACTGGTGGGAGCGGATCAACTTCAGACACGGTGGCAGACACAACGACAGAGGTCACTACCACCTCGCCAGTGACCACAGACTCGAGTGGCAGTGGCGACTTGTTCACAACAACATCTTCAGAGCTGACGACAGAGGACTTGACAACATCTGAGTTTGATTTCAGCGGCAGCACCTCGACTGAGACTCTGAGTTCAAGCACCACCGACACCATAACCACCGATTCAATCACCACCACTACCGCTACTACCGGTTTGGTCACTACGCTCCCGCTCACCACCACTGCCACTACCACTACCACTGAAACTGGAAGTGGAGAGGTCAACACCACCTCCGCCTTCCCAGAAACAACTACTTTTGTTAGCTCGACAACCAGCAATGTTTCAACTAGTCCCGATTCAACTCAAACAACACCGGCGCCGTTCACGACGACCAGCCTGCCGGGTACAACTTCGCCCTCAACATCCTCGGGACCTGGAAGCGGTGAAACGACCACAACAACTGCACCAACAACGAGCACATTGCTTACAACGACAGATGACAGTAGTGGCCAATCCACGTCGACTACCTTTCCATCATCCAACTTGACAACAACCATCTCAACAACCACAGAAAATGTTACTTTGGCCACAACCACGCCCGTAACAACCACGGACACAACAGCCACATCAACAGCCACATCAACAGCCACATCAACAGCCACATCAACAGCCACATCAACAGCCACATCAACAGCCACATCAACGGCCACAACAACGGCCACAACAAGAGTCACAACAACGGCGGTAAACTCCACCTCCATTACAACCGCCTCGACGCCTTCTACGACCGAAAATGTAACAACCACAGACTTTCCCGTCACCACAACATCCTCTGTTCCCGTCACGTCTTCTGCCAACATCACGACAACCATCGCGCCATTAACATCGACTACGCCCGTCCAAACTACGACGACGGTTCTGCCCACTTGTGCCAACACAACGCAATACCTCAACCTCAGCACTGGACTCTGTGTTAATCTGACGGAATGTGGCAGTGGCACATTTGAAGCTTCGCCGCCTTCAGTGACCAGCAATCGCATTTGTTTGACATTGACGACGTGCAATGCAAGCAATGCATATGAGATTGCAGCACCCACGCCGACGAGCGATCGGCAATGCCAGGGGGCATCTATCTGTACAGAAGCCGAGTATATTGCCACACCGCTGTCCGCGACGAGCGACCGCGTTTGCCGTCCCTTGACAACTTGTTCTCCCAGCGAAGAGCAGTTTGAGGCTACAGCTCCAACTGCAACTAGCGATCGTTTTTGTGCAAATGCAACACAGTGTCAAGCTTGGCAATACCAGACATCACCGATCGGCGTGAGCAATGATCGCAGCTGTGCCAACATTACTGTTTGTACAGAAGGACAGTTTGAGAGCGGCATGCCCTCGAGTACCACAGATCGCGAGTGCAGCAACGCAACCACGTGTCATATCAGCTGGCAGTATGAAGCGACGCCGTTGAGTCCCACCGCAGATCGTGTTTGTACTCCAGTGACCAACTGCAGTGCCACTGAGTATGCCTCGGTATTGCCCACAGCGACAACAGACCGCGTGTGCACAAATTACACGGTTTGCTCAGATTATGAGTTCATGTCGACCATGCCAACTAGCACATCTGACCGTGAATGCAGCTGCGGGTTCTTGGACAGTGAAGGGGAATTGCGGATGTCGTTGACCTTTACTGGGGTGCGAGATGCTCTGGCTAGTGCCAATCAAAGCGTAATCGATGCTTTTCACCAGGCCGTTGCAGAGGCGCTCATTCAAGAGACCGCCGTGCAATTTTTGACCCGCGTTTCGGCAGCTCAGCTTGCCAGCATAGACAGCGTGGAGGATGCGCGAGCCCTCAACGGTCTTAACTTGACTGTTGACCTTGAAGATCCAAACTTGACTTCTCTGGATGTGGACCGCATTCTAAAGTATTTTTCACTCGATGCCTGCTTTATTACAAATCTCACGGGCACACCAACAGCCAGTGCCAGTCAGCGCCGACGACGCGATGTGAGTTCGGAGGTCAATTTCGATCTGAGTGTGTTGCCAAACATTCTTGCGGACCTGGCGTGCTTGGTATACGATACCAACGCTGAATTTTCGGGTGCGGTGCTTGATGCCGTTCGCCAGTCACAGATGGCGTTTGTTCAAGATGGCACTGAGATTTCCAACCTGGCCGTGACCAATGCGGCGGGTAATTGTTTGTGTGGATGCCCTTCGACCACGAGGGCCGGTGAAGGGGAGAGTGGGAGCAATTTGCCTTTTGCCAGCAACGTTCCAATGTGGTTGGCCACGTTGGCTGTGCTACTGGCATTGATCCTTGGGCTTGTGATGTTGGTATTCCTGCGGCGTCGGCCATCTGCCGATGCTGCCGTTCTCAAAGATACTTCCTATATACAGCCTCCAAGTGCTTTGCCGGGCTACATCGAGCCACCCAAGTATCCCTTTTTCATGAATCACGAGCCCCTTCAATCAAAGACAGCGCCCGAGTACCAACCACCGCCCCCGTGGACGCCCCGCCTGGGTGGAGACGCCGAATTCGAAGAGTGGCCCAATGACGACGATCCCCTCTATGACTTTGCCGACAACACGCCGCTACCTGATTACGAGCAGCCGCCAGAATATGCCACGGTGCATGACTATGACTTGGTGGATCCGGAGGATTTGTTTTTGGATGTGGATGGGTCTGTGGCCACGTCCTTTTTCAACGTTTCCGGCACAGAAGATGAGTTATCCCTGTACAGCGATGCAACCTCCCTACGAGATGACTATACGTTACCCTCGGATCTTTTGGATGATTACTTGGAGCCCCCCATGATGGACTTTGGTCCTCGCTCAACAACAATTCCCGCCTATGAAGATGCGCCAGCCTTTCCCTTCAAACAATGATGAGCAGCTGAATACTTACATTAGCAGATAGAACAAAAGGAACATAAAAATAATGACTCCGTTTTGGTGATTTTTAAAAGACTTTGACTATTATCGGTTCTGCAGACGACGAGACGCATGATGTCTTGCACTGCCATTTGAGCTTTGTGAAAGTGTTTGGTGCATCAAGCTTGGATGATGATTATGCCGTGTATGCACGAAACCGGTCCAGGGTGTAGAAAACAAGGTTAGATTGGCGTTTGTTTCCTCAACTTCAGTCAGACGTCATCTTGCTGCTGGCGCTTCTGCACCCCACCTCATGTACATGAATGTGAATTGAAGAATCAATCGAAATCATCAGTCGATTTGCGACTTGTGATCAAGGATATCAAAACAAGATCAAAAGAACTATGCTTTAAAAAGCTTCGGTAGGCCTTCCCAGACCTAACACACATATGACCAGGAAATACATTCGGGAGCATGAGAGGCTAGAACCTCGGGAAGCAAGATTGTTCAATGACGGGTGAGGCACACGCCCGTACCTTGTGGTATTTGTCTTGACGGGCACCACTCCCAGTCATGGCCCACGCGGTGGTCTAAGCAACAAGCAACACGCGTGAGCTGAGCCCAAACCCAAAACTGAAAAGCGCGAGCCATTGAACATTGTACCTTGACGCTAAGACTGGTTTCAAACATAAAAGCTTGTGTGCCCTCTGCGACACGTTCGGGCACAAGCTTTGCTTTGCTTGCGCCCTCAAAACATTGGCGGTCCGGTCCGTGGGGCGTCATCATGGAGTGAAGGGTGGCGCCGCCAGGTTGGAAGCCTTCCGCCTTGGCCTCGTAATGCCCATGGATCAGCCCCATAAACTCGGACATGCAGTTGCGGTGATAGTAGGGTGGACGGAAGGTGTGCTCTTGCACGGACCAACGGGGCGGGAAGATGACAAAGTCCACCAATGCCAGTCCCGGCACGGGCGTTGGGCACGTGAGGACGGTGAAGATGCTTGGGTCCTGGCGGCATTGTCAGGCCGTGAGAATCAGAGACGGTGACCCAACTTGAAGCAAAGCATTCCAGGGCACGTACGATGTGATCAAAGCTGACAGAGTTGATGACGTTGAAGTCAGCCAGGTTGTATTTGAAAGGCGCATAGTTGCCATGCCACGCCACCACATCAAAGGGTGAATGGTCCTGTGGTAAGTCCAAACAGTCAGTGAGCCAACGCGGCACCTGAGCCTGTCCAACCGTCGGGTTCAGGTTGTGCCCACCTGGGTGGCAGCAAAGAAGCGCTGGTGGTACTTGGAGTAAACGGTGTAGGGCTCATCCACGTCCTCAAACCACGCGGTTGGGGTCATGAAATCACGAGGGTTGGCCAAGCCGTTGGCACCGATGGGGCCCAGACTGGGCAACTCGAAATGACCACTGAAAACTTCACAGATGTAACCCCTAGGAGAAGAATGATATTAATTCTCGCATGTGAGGCGCTAGTCTAGCCAGAGTACAAAAGGCGCGGAAAAGTTGGCCAACTAGGAAGAACGTTGTTTGCATACCGGGAGGGTCCTGTGACGTTGACTTGAAAGCGGATGCCGCGCTGGATCACGCAAATCTCATTGGGAGCCACCTTCATCTTGCCAAACTCAGTCTTGATGTCTAGGGTGCCCTGCTGCGGAACTAAAGCCATGGTACGGCAAAAGGCCAAGGCACAAGATGAGCGGGGAGAATATGAACAAGGTGGGCGACTCAACAATGGAAACTCCAAGAGGATGGTTTGCAACATGACCTTGGGAAATCGATACCAACACGACAACCTACCAATGAGGAAGTCGCCATCCGAGTTGTACAAGGCAGCATGGTCCATTGAGGTGTTGCAAGCGTAAATGTGAAAGGCTGTTCCACTGCGCATGCTGGCGTCACCAGCTCCAGCCACCGTGGACAGGCCCTATTAAGCATGATGAGGCATATTTCAAGCGAGTCAGTCCCGTGCGGTCGTGTGCACGCATCACCAAACCTTGATTCCTGTTCTTCCCAGCTTGACAATAAAATAATGGTCATCAAAAAGGGGGGCTAGTCAGACAGACAGGCCAGTGGAAAGAGCTTGAATGGCAGGTGTACCTGGACAAAGTTGGTTGGTGCATCCGGAATAGGAAAGGGATTCCAACGGAGCTGGTGGGCATAACGGCAAGTGTGAGCAAATAAGCCAGGGAGATTGCTGAGCAAAGAAACGCAGTCAGGTTCCTTCGTTCCGTGGCGCTGGCACACCAAACCTGGTTAGGGTCGGAGACGGCGTCAGCAAAGGATGGGGCCAGGTTTCCAATGTCGACTGCCTTGTATGGCTCGTGGCCTGCGGCAGGGCGGATGCGATACAGCCAGCTGCAGAAACATGGCCGGCAGGAGACATCAGGATGAGAGCGGTTTGACTCTAGATGTGAGGAGCGGAAATTTCTGGCCAACTGAGGTGGCGAGCAAATGGCGAGATCACGCCCACCTGCGAAAGTTTTCTTTGCGGGGCTGAGTAAAAGCAGTTCCAGAGAGCTGTTCAGCGTAGAGGCCAAGGGGGCACTGTTGTGGTGCGTTCTAAAAAGTACAGAATCAGAAGGACTCAGGATGAGGCGGAGAGTTGTTGGCTTGCACAGATCGTAGTGTGATAGGGTGAACTGCAAGGCTGCACGGACCTGGCCTTGAGGCAGGGCACCAGCCCGTGCTTCCGACGAGACCTCTTGGTTCAGGCCAGTGAAATACTGTCACACAAGAACACGGGCACCCATGTGAAGGGTGAGAAGCAAACAGGGGTGATGCAGACGAGAAGAAAAAGAGGAGGAGGAGGACGACGACGACGACGATGACGAGGAGGAGGAGAGGCAGAGGCAGAGGCAGACACAATGGAGTCCTCGACCTGGGCAGAGGATGTGCACATACCTTGATGCCATCCTCCTCAACGAGACCATGACCTAGAGTAAAGAAGCAAGTCAGTGCACGATCCACCGCGCAGGTGAGCAGGCACGTGTGAGCCAAGACGCTGGGGGAGGGAAGGCGGAATTCGCGCCGAACCCGTCTGAGGGAGGATCGAGGATCGTACCCGCCTGCTTGCGCTGAGCCGACGAGGCCTCAACCTTTGGGCGCTTAGCAGCCTCAGCCATGATACCAGGACTTCCCAAAAAAAAAAAAAAAAAATGCACCAAACCAAATGCAATCGTCCAGCAGCAGCCCTTGAGACCAGGAGCACAGGAGAAGCACACGGGAAGAGGGGAAGAGCACACGGGAAGAGCACACAGGAGCACTGGGGAAGAGCACACAGGCGCACTGGATCAGTGGAGCACTGGATAGTAGATCAGTGGATCAGCAGGAGCTCGACCGGCGAAACTGTCTCTCTCTCTCTCTTTGTGAGAGAAGAGCTTTGGAAGGGTTGTGCGGGGTAGAGAAGCGGGCTAGGTTGTGGTGAGTTTTCAGAGGGATGGTAGTATTGAAACATGAAATGGTAGTTGAAAGAAAGCCGATATTAGAGAAGCTGGCAACCTAATGCGTTATATCCAGAGAGAGGCTTAAAGTTGCTGTTTTCAGGAGAGAGAGGCAAAGATGCCGTGACGGGCAACGCACACCATTACTGCAGTGAAAGTGTGATCAAGTGTAACGTGAATTGCGTCGGGGAACCGGGTCGTGATGTAATCGGTACAAGACGGGTAACAACAACTGTACAAATACACTGTTGGATCAGGCTGTAACAAAGATATATCTCAAACTGCAGTTGTTACGGAATATAGATGGTTATCCTCACTGCGTTCATGCTAATCGTGTTTTTCAGTGACAACAACAACAACAACACCGTGCTGCGCGCTGCGCGTCTTTC